ATCGTGCACGCTGTAGCATTTTTCAATAAGGAGCGTTCTTATTCTTATAATATGAACAAAATAGAACAACTGACTGTTGCAGAGGAAGATTAATAATGATTTTTCTCGATATGTCTTGAAACAACCATTTCAATTTGTTACGACAAACAATACGTTTGATTTGCCTCGACATTGCATAAAAAAAAATAATTGTATGGATACGTGAACATGAATAACGTGCAGGATACCGCTCAATGGAAACCACGAGAAGGTGGTGGTCTCTTCCATCAGGAGGGAAATGTAAAAAATCGTTTATCGCGATGTCGTACGGGAAACGTATGCTCTGTAACGACAGCCTAACCCACGCCATCTGACGTAGACGAAGCTATCCACATCGTACAACAGAGAGATTACCGAGCACTCGGGCGCAATGTTAGTTGCGAGCTCTCTTCTCGTACGTCGTCGTTGATATGCGAGTGATGAAGTGGTGAACTGGATCCATAGATTTGTTGACTTCTCGTTGCTCGTCGTCTCTTCGTGTGTCAAAGTTGTTCGATGCGAAAATCGTATCTCTCGTTCGAGTTGAAAATTATATTTATATTGTAATGTACAATGTTGTGTTTTACATGCTATTGCAAGAAGTCAGTCATCAGCCAATTAGAGCACGTCCCTTTCTGGATTGGTGCTACTTCTGCGTTTCGTGTTCGCGTGGGTGTACAGCGGGTTTCAGGTACCAGGGGAAAACCTGGCCCAACGGTCGGGACCAGATCGCGGGCCCCTTACAACGGCCATTGTAACGCTTCGTTTTAATCAACGGTGTTTCTAAAGCCACTCCGCTAATGGCTTTTTGTAGCGTTAAGGCTGTGGGGTCCATCGCCTCCCGTACTCGCCACCAGAGGGACAGTTTCTCTCGCAAGCGCTCGACCTTTCGTTTGTATATATACGTTCCTCGACTAACTACTAAGGCAAGGTCTGCTAGGATCTATTACTAACGAGTCCCCCACTAGCAGACCCAGAACGAAACGCTCTCCTCTCCTCTCCTTTCCCATCGATCTTCCACGGGACCCCACAAGGCAAATGCCAAATTATACTACTCTTGTAATACTATAAAATAAATGTTACGCGACGCAACGGAAATCATCGTCGTTATATGACGTTAGAGGGATCATATTCGCCATCGTAATTTACTTTTCTGTTTCTTAACAGATTTGGCATATATTTTAGAGATAAATGTTTTTGATCTACCTCTATGGTTTGACATTTTCCCTCTGACGTCTTTAACGACAGCTCCAGCACGCAAACAACACTGACGGGTTTCAATTAATTCCCGTTGTGGCGCTATGTGCATTAAACCTATGTTCACGTGTTAGTGTAACACTATTAACAACGATGCGTCAATGCATCGAATTGGGGTTATTTAGCACGCGTAAACCAGCCTTAAGGTTATGCACACAGTGCAGCACGGCGGGATCGCGTCCGCGTCCTTCTGCTTTCTTCGCGATGAAAGTATCTTCTTCGGGGAATCCCGACAGGTCCTCGGTTAGACTCATCGAGTGCAGACGCGTGTGAAAAACCGAGTGTAATATCAAATCAAAGAAATATATGGTGAATTGTAATTATTTATTGACAACGAAGTAGGTGTGGGAGCGTATAGTTAGACCCCTCAAAAACTTCAAAAAAGTAAAAAAATTACGCCAAGTACATCAAATCAAGTAAATCACAAAACATAGAAGATAATAATAATTACAAAATTAAAAAAAGATGTGAAATCAAAATGAGCTGCCAGTACATAAAGATGCTTTCCAATTACGCTTTAGATGACACAGCTACATATGCACAGCTCAAATTCCATTACCCATAATGGCTATTTATACAAAGAAAAAATGTATTAAATAATATTAAGCAGATATATTTTTATACAAATAAATATTTTAATACGAATAAATATTTTATTCAAAATACTTGGCGCTGCGCCCCGAATTGGTGTTGCTAAACTGAATAAACGTGTATAAATTGGATCAATCTTTTTCGTTCTTGTGGGTGCGTTCGTAACTGTGTGTGTGCGTGTGCATATGCTACGTATTATATTAGAATTAAATATATGTAGAATAAATCTGACTGCGTTTCTAATATATGTATGTATATGTTTATGTATTTTAGATTGTAAGGGAGTAATTGTAAATTATTAATACTAATTGTAAGACAATTAACATTTTTTCGGTTTCGCAGCGCCAAGTATTTTGAATAAAATATTTATTCGTATTAAAATATTTATTTGTATAAAAATATATCTGCTTAATATTATTTAATACATTTTTTCTTTGTATAAATAGCCATTATGGGTAATGGAATTTGAGCTGTGCATATGTAGCTGTGTCATCTAAAGCGTAATTGGAAAGCATCTTTATGTACTGGCAGCTCATTTTGATTTCACATCTTTTTTTAATTTTGTAATTATTATTATCTTCTATGTTTTGTGATTTACTTGATTTGATGTACTTGGCGTAATTTTTTTACTTTTTTGAAGTTTTTGAGGGGATCTCACTTCTTTTTTCAAAGGTTAATTGTACTATTATTTGCAAATTCATATTCATACACACGTATTAATTGTTTATTTATCCTGAATGCATGGAAAATCTTCCAGACGATTAGATCGAAACATTTGGATCAAATGTTGACGCATTAACGCATGATTGTACGTTACTTTGTCAGGTAATTTATTGATGAATAATAATGAAACAGCAAATGCACTCGCAACAACTCCGCAATCCCGACTATTAGGTTGAGCTTGTAGGGGAAGGTGGGACAAGATGGGGTAGTTAAGGTTTGATGATGAATAAATCAAGTTTTCCTAATCAACTAATCATTTTTTTTTGTTTGAATCATTCTTTGCTAACAAGTCTTTCAGTTTAACTATGCACCAACCTAATTTCTATACAGGTTTTAGTAGAAAATTTCAGAAAAAGTCCTTTCTCTCGATTGTTCGGTTGAATTTGTTATAAGAGACGACGACAGCGGAATGATCCCAAGAGTCGACGAACGAAACATGTGTGCGAAACTGATAGGTGTGTGTGTATACGTATTATGTCGACGACGACAAATTTTCGACTCAAGAAGAAAAATTTTCTCTTATCTCTTATACCATTTCTGACAATTTCAATGAGACGATATTACGATATCTCTAGCATGCGTGGACCGATTTTTTTGGAATTGGTCTTATTCGAAAGCTTATATGCGGTTTACATAAGAAAAATGCCTTTAAATTTAAAAAATATTGCAGGGGTGATGAGATATTATTGAAATAAGTTTCAGAATAGCCTGGCGACGAGTAAAGGATAGCGGTAGCGACAGTCGATCGATATCTTGTATACAGGGTGTCTTTCATGTACTTGGCGTCGAGACGCTACCGCGTCTCTAGATACACGAAGATTGTCCTGCATTCACGAGTTGTTAATAAAGTTGAGGGTAGACGATCAACAAAGATTTGCACTTAACCAGTCTCTCGAATTCAAGGACACTACAATTTGGCGACGAGGATGCGATGCTGGTCGAAAATTTTGATGTAAAAGTATACATCGAGAAAGTGGCACGTGAGGACCGTACATAACCTAAATCGAGCACGTGTTTGACTTCACAGGACACGAACATAAGACGATTTACACAGTCGATATCGCCGGCTTTTACAAAAGGTAAGTCTTAACATTTAAGTCAACATTTTGTTCAAAAATGATCTATAAAGATCTCTGTAAGTTTCATCTCTCATGCTTCAAAAGTCTTTATACAGTTTATCTCTTATGCATGCATGCAACTTAATTTAATAGGTTGTTTCGTGAACAAATTTATAGAAAAATGAAAAACGTTTTTGACAAGTCCTATAAAATACTTCAGTTTATTTGTAATTTATCAGTAAAAGAATCTGAATCTATATAATCCAATACACAAGATATAAAGACAGACATATATAAAGATAAAAAGAATATTTTTACCAGTATCTTCATATTCATAATGTTAGAATTTGGAGGGCTCAAATATTTATTTGAGAACCTCGTCTAACGGGTGTCCGGATTACGAAGGAGTAGGACGTAGGAAAAGTAAGTCGTTTGTTTCAATTGTATTTTCGCGCCGTCGATTTTCGACGACGCCGTTTATTTGAAAAAAAGGAACCAAAACAAAACAAACGAAATGAGAAACGAACTTGTAATAATCAAAAATAAAACAGAACAAAATTTACAGAAAGAAAAATAGACTGTTTGGCCGTTTGCCGCATTTAACAATTAAAAATAAAAATTAAAAATCATTGGCTCGTCCTCTGGCGCGTTAATCCGCCTCTCGTTTGACGAGTCGTCGGCTGGCCTCACTCTTCTCTGTAACAAAAAGGACGGAACTTGGTGTAAATACACGGTAACGTTAGTCACGTTTTCCGTCTCGTTCTGAAGTTCTCGCGCTCCTAGCTGTGCTTGTCGCACTCAGGAGCGGGGATTCTCTGCCGCTGCGTTACGAGGCGAAACAGGTGGACTGTATTTATTTATGTTCCCTTTAAATCAGGAAACGTTTGATTGCAGTTCTAAGGAAGACGAGATTATACCTCGATTCTTCCTATACTGCGGGATCTCGACCGTCGTAGGAAAGGGCAACAGATGGAGGTTGTAAGGCTCCAAATGTTGTCGAATCCTCGGTTTCTTACCGTCCTCGTAATCCGTACGTGTACGGTGTGGGACTGTACCTTGTCTGCGTTCGCAACGACTTACGATTAGCGTACGTTTCCCACTGTTGCTCTTGAGCGGTATTCCACGCACACGTTGGCGTATTTTCGAAATACCGCTTCAGCAGGTCGCCTGATGCTGGACACGTAATTAAAATTCCTAGCACCGACTGGAGGGCGGCAAGTCCACCCACGGAATACACCACGTGGTCCGTCTAGGTGGGGTTTTAACCGTTCGACAGTCAAGGGAGGTTCGTAGGTCAAATTCGAAACTTCGAATACGACCGATCGGTCCAACGATACGTATCTTTTTTCAGTCTTAGGTGGGCTTTTCCCACAGCTGAACTAGAAACTTTCGGATATAACCCACGAGATTCCTCTTTATAAACGGAAGTGTCGTTGGTACCGGATGGTATCCCAATCCGTTTATGTACTGCACTTCTTTGCGTTTCCGACTCTTTTTAACTCCAGTTAAAACGTGTAGCGGAAGTATTGGCGTTACCGGATCGGACCCCAATCCGTTCTCGCACTGCACCTTCTTCACCACGTTCTTAACTGGCTCGAAAGAACGACAAGCTCTACACTATTCGTTCTAATTGGTATATACGGAGGAGCGGGATCGTATGCCCATCTGCTCTCGGCCGTTTCAAATCAAGAGTGATTCGCTTAACAAGGAGAGTCAAATTCGGAGAGCGATTTCCGACTGGCGGCGCTGTAGCCGAATTTGAGTTTGTCTTTGTCTATCTTTCGATTGTCTTTCCTTTTCTATCTTACGCGTTTCGAAACGTTAGCTTGAAATTCTGCGTAGTTTGGTCGATCGCGTGATGTTTCGAAGAAATCCGTATGTGACCGTTTTTGTATCCGGTCTTGTTTACGCGTAGCGGACATGAGAGCCGAACATTCTCGAGTATGTTACATACGCAGAAAAACAATACCGGGTGACGAATAATATTCTACTATTCTTGCACGTCGAATTGACGCGATATTTAAACACATAAATATCTCAATATTTTTCCCATTTGGCCTAGTTACTTTAATAAATCTGAGTAAATCATCAATATTATATCTATATTTATTAACAAATGTCTTAACATAGAACTTAATATTATTAGTTGGACTACTCCTAAATTGAATCTGTAATTCCTTAACTAAAGATATAGTTGTAGCTATAACGTTCAGATTACTCAAATTATTTCCATCACTAATAAAATATTTTATGAAGTTGTATGCTCTTTAAAATGTTTATGATCTACTGGGACTTTATTAACTTTATGTCTTAATAAATTAATAATCAAAGTATCTGTATTAATATTATAATCAAGTAAGAGTGTCACAATAGTATTAATATTATCTTTTATTAATACTGTGTATCTCTAATGTTTAAATTTGATGAAATATTTTAAATCTGTTATCATTTTTTTGTAAATATCTAAATTATTTTTAAATCTGTAATTTGGAGAAATGAAAAGGGTTTGAATTTAAGGGGTAGAAATCACTGTGACAGATTGGGAAAATTGAAATTTTTGTATTATCTCTTTTCAATAGTCTCTTTAAGAATGACTCCCTAAAATATTAAAGTAAAATTTGCAAAAATGCATTTAGATGTACAAGATGTAATATGCCTAATGCTTGAAATTAACTGTTCTTTACTTTTGAACATTTATTTTGAAACTCTTTTATTATTTCTACTGTGGTAATGGTTTTATATGAATAGGAAGTATTTTCATCGAGATAATTGTGTGAATGAAGAGTACTTAGAATGTCCCGATACACGACTAAAGTGGTTCAAATGGCAACTTATTTAGCCGTAAACCAATTTAACAATAGCTATTCAGGATTATTACAAATCATGAAGGTCCATGATATTAAAATTGGATCACAGGCTATGCATATTGACACAAACAGCGACACATGACATTGGGTCGAAGGAAAAAGGAGATATAAATGAAAGAGATGAGGATGATCTTTCTACAGAAGATACGGTTTTGGGTCCTGAAGTAGATCCCCTTTAGAAAGTTTAAAAACTCCAATGTTATTTCTTAGATAATCTGGTGCAAAACTTTTTAAACACGTTTTTCTCAAAACCACACTTTTCAAACTGCGTGTCTCAATAACGCAGTCAATTTTCATCCGATTTACTTAAAATTTTGTGTGGTGATTCTTAATACTATTTTCTTCAGTTGCACGTACGGAATTTTCGATGGAATAATTAGTTTCGACGTGGTGTTAAAAGAAATATTGATTTGGTTACAGGTTTTTGAAAATATTTCCTTCAAAGTTTAAATATTTTATAATAAATAATTATTTTTAAAAATTTGTACGTGCAACTGAAGCTACCGTCCTACATTTTAAGAAAATTGCATGATTTCATGTTTCACAACTTGCAATGAAAAATTACACGTCCGCCCGTTTCTAAGAAATTTTTGGAAGCCTCTCACGCTGGTTCCTATTATGGTTATAACAATTAATATTGTTATACGAAATTTTGACAAGAAGTAATTCAAGAAATGTACTTTCGAAGACATTAAACATTTATCAGAAGAAGTTTCATTGTAATGTCCAAAAAATTGTTGAAATTTGCCTTTATTTTCAGCCGTCGCAGTGGTTTCACCACTTGCTGCGTCTTTTATTTTAAGATCACATTTCAATAGAAATCATAAGTAGACTTCTATGTAAGACAATTTAATTTATTTTGTATAAAAAGAGTTCTCTTCTAGCTTTTACATTCAAAAATTTAAAATACGGTTTACTTTTACAGAATAAGGGTTTAACATCCTAAACATTAAGTGTCATTGGTCCATTACTTAGATATTTAACCAACACATTCGATAATGTAGTGTTATAATATAATAGCATGTTGTTAAAATAGGTGCGAGTTGTTGTCGCTCTCACCCTTTAACGAGGAGTCCGAATTACGAGGGAGTGGGAATGTGTGGGAAAGTGAATCTGTACACTTATAAATTTCTTTCGCCTAGTCAATTGACTAGACGGTTTATTTAAAATTTGAAAATTTAAAGAAAAAAAACAAAATTAAATAAAGTAAAATTAAGAAATTTATTTTAAAGTTGCCAGGAAAAACTCGAGCCTGTTGGCTGGCTCGAGAAAAAAAAACCTGGCCGTGGTTTCTGGCCACTACGGCTCTCTTCTCGGCCTTCTGTAACAAAAAGAGACCGAAATTTGGCTGTAAATATTTGACAACGCTCGTCGCGTTGTCTGATTCGCTTCAATCCACACGCTCCTTACTCTGTTTATGATAAACAGGAGCGGGATTCCTACACAGCGATAAGCAACTGTTCTAGTGGACTGTATTATTGAACGTTTCTCGTGTGATCGAGAAACGTTCGACTGCAGTTCTGGAAAATTTTTAACAGCAGATGGGGAAGACAAGATTTGAGCCTCGATCTTCCCAATGCTGCGGGCTTGATTTTTGCAGGAGGTGACAACAGGTGGAGGTTGTAAGGCTCCAAAAGTTGTCCACTCCGTGATTCCGCGTCGTTTCCTGGTCTGTACGGGACCGGTGTGATGCAAGCCCTTAACTGCGCTAGAAGCGTCCGAAGGTTAAGGTGCTTACACCACGGTGCCCTTTGAACGTCGCTCTACACCGAGTGTCCGTACACACTGGTGATCCACAACCGACGTTCGAGCCAATCGAATTCAGCCGAAAGCACCCAGGGAATGCGCCAAATAAGGCCCCTATGGGGGTGGTTCTCGAACTGAAATGCGACTTTGGGAAACGACGATCCCACTGTGGGTATGCGCCAAAAGGCCCCTATAGGAGTGTTCGAATCGTACAAAAGTCAAGGAGAACCGAGAAGTTTTCTCGGTTCTCGTTACACGACAGCTGATTACAGCGGTACGTGTCTTCCACACAACGGTGGCGACAATCAAACACTATTTAAGTGTTACGATGATTGTTATCAGCCACCGGTTGTTAATGTGGGAAATCGTTCGCGCTTTGAAACAATTTGACGCAACGTTGGAGATAATCGAACACTATCGAAGTGCAGAAACGATTATTGTCAGCCACCGGTTGTTAATTGTAAATTGTTTCAATTCTAATACAGTTCGCTTCCAGAATGGTTCTGTTAACACAACGATCACTTAACTCACGAAACCGTGAGGTACGAAATTCGACTAGGTCTAATTCTTTCGAATTTACCACAGTCTTAATTTCGTTCCGTTTCGGTTCTGTGGTGCAACGATCCAATTAAACGGATTTAATTGAACGAATATAGTGATCGCGGTGTTGGACGAGGTCGGCTTAGATGATGCGAACTCGTCGAGAACCAGATAGCAAGTGATCGCAGAGACAGACCCTCTTGTCCGCGGTCGCGAGAGGGGAAATTGTCTGTCTCGTATTAATTTTGTATCCTCTCTGTTATTTCGGCGTAGTAATACCGGTTCTCATGGAGCCGTTACTGGGCCGATCGCGTGACTATTATCGAAGGTAAATTTGGATTTTTTCTACACGGTATTGCTCCCGAAGCATGTTACGCCGCAGAGGAGGCTCTGGAATGTCGCGTAAACTGAGGATAACACCGTATAATAAATGTCCCCTTTTTTCTACAGATCACGCGAGAATTTAACCGCCGTTTCTTATTAAAGAATTAACGCGTTATTTAAACAGATCAGGTTACTTATATGAAATAATTAATCATATGTTTGGTATTACTGTACTACCGTTATTTACAATTTAATACATTTGTTAGGGGGAGTAGGTTTGAAAAAACCTCGCCTAACGGTGGTCCGGATCGTGAGGGAAGGAACGTCGAGAAAAGAATACAAGTTTGCAATTTAATTTTCGCTTAGTCGAATGACTCGACTAAGCCTTTTATTTGGAAACGTTTGTAAACCAAAATTAGGTAAGGATGGTCTGCCCGGCCAGACGCCGCTGCAATTAATCCTGTTTGGTAAACCTGTAACAGAAAGAGACACGAATAGGCGTTAAATACCTGTGAACGTGAGTCACGCTGTGTGTCTTACTTTCTTCCGCGCTCGTCTGGTCTGTGCTTGTCGCACCCAGGAGCGGGGATCTCAGCCGCCGCGATGCGCAGCTAAGCTAGTGGACTGTATGTGTGAGCGTTCCCGTTAAATCGGGAATCGCTTGCTTATTATTGTCGTGTACGAGATTTCTGCTCGTCTAATTTCACGACTGCAATTTCTGACTGCAATTTATGACTTTGATGTATGACTGTCGCAGGAAAAGGTGATCGGAGGGAGGTTGTAAGGCTCCAACCTTTCAGCCGGTCCCCGGCCCTTCACCGCCTTCGTAAGTGCGTACGGCACTGTGTGGTGCAGGCTTGTCAACGGCGCCCTTAGGTCGACTTACGGTTGGGCCTGAGACCACGTTGCTTTGTCGGATGCTCCGTCCTACGCACAGGGACCGTACTCCCTGGAGATTTTTAGACGTGTCCTAGCTTTCGCCGATAGCTGGGGTTTAAAAAAGTGTCCCGCTTCGACTGGAAGACGGCAAATCCACCCAGGGTATTATTCACCCCTGTATGGTGGGTTCGAAGCCGTTTCTGACAGTCAATTGGAGGAAGGAGTTTGTACCTCGATCCTCTAGTGCACGATGATTCCACTCAGGGTTTCTTCCCACACCTGGATTATGGAGTCGTGCACTAAGAAAAGTGCGAAGAACCTCGCACCTATAAATTGGGATGAGCTTAGCCCTCTATCCCTGGGGAAACGATTGATTCCACTCAGGGTTTCTTCCCACACCTGTTTATGGATCGATTCCCCGGAAGCACTCGAATTACTTCGAGTCTATTCCGAATTAAATAAGTCTGCTTACAGAGCTCGGTCGTGTACCGACTGGCTCGATACGATAACTCGCGAATAATTCCTTTGCAACTCCGAGGGTAGTCGAAGAACTCGACTCGGGTCGGATTGCTCGAATTATTCTGTTATGCGACTGCTGAGCGTGTTCGTATACCGAAGTGCTCGTGGCAGTGGTTTGATAGCGAGTGACGGACGAGCACGAGCTGCCAAAAGTGAGCGCGTGAGTGGGGAGAGTCTTCCGTCACGCGGCGCTGTCGCCGTGTCTCTCGTCCGTCTCTGTCTATTATATAGTTTTCGTACCTTCTCTAAACTCGGGCGTTTAAACCGCTTGTTTCAAAATTGAACGTTAATTAATCGTTCGCGTGACTTTGCAGAAAACCTCGAGAACCGTGTTTTCTGTCCTCTAATATTTTGAATAGCGGACGCGTCGACCTAGAATCTTCCTGGTCGGTCGCGTAACCGAAAACAAACCGGGTAACGAATTGTTTCGGATTTAAATTAACTATCGCATTTTAATCGATATTTAAACATACCGCCCCCCTTGCACGGTCCGTGCAACAAGAATGGGAGGCGTAGGTCGCGGTCACGTCGCGTAAAGCCCGTAGAGAAGGTAGAAGTACACTTTCAACAACTTTCTATTGTAAAAGTTTAACTGTACTTACTCAGCGGCGTGCCTGGGCCCTTTCGTCCTCCAGCAACCGGAGGGTGGTCAGGAGGACCTCCCCGAGGGCCGAATCCGGTTCCCGGCGACGTGGTCGTTGGTGCGGCTGTGGGGCCTGGTGGTTCCGGTTTCGGGGGCGGCTGACCGTTACGGGTCGAGCGGGCCCCCGGTTCCGCCTCCTGCGGGCGTAATCCCGCCGCTCGTGTTGCGTGGGCGATGTCGCAGGGATTCCCTTGCGCTTTTTCAAGCACCGGTACTCTTCTGCGAAATGCGTACGCTGTAAGTAGCGTGCAATTCTTTCCGTTGCACGCTGGATTTCCGCTGCTTCGACAACTTTTGCATCGAATGACCTTCGTTCTCCGACCGCCGGCCTCCGGAACCGGAGGCAATAGGCAGTCACACGTTGTAGCTTACTCCATTGGGAAAATCGGAAAACTAAGTTCCATTCCTTTTCCGGAGTGGCCACGAGGGTATGCGATACGCGTTTACCCTCCTCGGTCTCGAGCGAGGCTGGCGATTTCGGCCAATTTTCCTCTGATTGTCGAAGCCATTTCGGCCCGGAAATCCATAATTCGGACTGAATGAGTTCTGCGGCGTCTACACCTCGCGAATTCAGATCCGCTGGGTTGAAGCGCGTGGGAACGTGCCGCCATTCAGCTTTTGGGAGCATGGTCTGAATTTTTGACACACGGTTGGCTATCACAACCTTCCATGTCGACGCATGCTTTTTCAACCAAGCGAGTGCAATCGTGGAATCTGTCCAGCAGATTATGCGGCTCATTTCTATGGGGAATGACCGTTTCACGTGCACTATGAGCTCGGAAAGTAACACAGCCCCATTCAATTCCAGGACGGGGATAGACTGTGTTTTTATCGGAGCCACTCGTGTCTTTGCCATGATTAATGTCGTAAACACGTCATTATTTTTCGTCGTCACCCGTAAGTAAGTGACGGCCGAATAGGCAGCGAGTGATGCATCGCAGAATCCGTGTAGTTCCACAGTAACTGCGTCGGCTCCGTATTGGATCCATCTCGGGAATTTTAGTTCTTTGAGACTGCTCCAATCCCTGCAAAACGTGTTCCACGTTTTTTGCGTGTCCGTGGAAATTTGGTCGTCCCACTGGATTTTCTCCAGCCATTGGGACTGCATCAGAATTTTTGCACGGATTACGACTGGTGATAACCAGCCGAGGGGATCGAAGAGCTTCGCGATCTCCGAGAACAAATTTCTTTTTGTCATCGGTAACGCAGACGGTTGAAACCGTTGCAGATCGAAATGGAAGTAGTCTCCGGATGGGATCCATCGTAGACCAAGCACTTTTAGTTCGGAATCGTCGAACAGAGTGAGGTCTACGGCGTGGGAGTGAGCACCTTGGGGGATGTTTCGCAATAATTTCGCGGAGTTTCCAGCCCATTTCCTCAACTTGAACCCACCGCCCTGCAGGAGATCGCAGACTTGCTTGCGAATTTTCTCTAGCAGGGTTTTGTTGGACGCTCCCATAAATACGTCGTCGACGTATATGTACCTCTCGAGGATCGGAGCGGCGAGAGGATACCTCTCTCCATCCTGCTCCTTTAATTCGAGGAGGGTACGCATCGCTAAATATGGGGCGCACGCCGTACCGTATGTTACGGTATTCAATTCGAAAGCTTTGAGCTTTTCGTCGTTTGACGCGCGCCATACGATGCATTGGAAACGACGGTCCTGTGGGGCGACGAGGATTTGCCGAAACATCTTCTCGATATCTGCCACCAGAACGTACTCATACAGACGCCACCTCGTTAAAACCGAGGTGATATCGTTCTGTAATTTTGGTCCGACATGCAGGACGTCGTTTAGGGATCGCCCTCTGACCGTTCTGCTGGTTGCATTGAACACAACTCGCAGTTTGGTCGTCGCACTTTCCGTGCGTACGACCGCTCGATGCGGAATGTACAGTCGATACTGGTCAATCGGCTCAAGCCGAGTCATGTGACCTAAGGACTCGTACTCCGCGAGGAACTCAGAGTATTCTCTGTCGAGGGTCGTATCCGCCTCCAGTTTACGCCTCATCCTCGCGAGAGCGGACAGCGCTATGTGGAACGAGTGTCCTAACGCTTCGTCCGGTCTCGGGTGATTCAAGGGCAATCGGACTATAAACCGTCCGGTTTTGTCCCGTTCGACGGTTCTTCGGAAGAGTGCTTCGCACTCTTTTTCCGCCTTGGACCGCACCGAGGTCGTGGGGATTTCTTCGGTTTCCCAGAATCGTCGAATTGCGTAATCCAGCGATTCGAGAACGGTGCAATGCAGCGTTCTTACCGTATTCCGGCCGTCGCCTTCAACGTGTATAGGGCCGGATATAACCCAGCCAAACGCCGTTTCTTGGGCGATCGGACCATCATTCGCCCCTCGTCGGAAGCCCGAACGAATCACCTGAGCATATAAATCCGCTCCGACCAGAATTTCGATCGTAGGATCGGCCCTGGCTTCTGGATCGGCTAACGGTAAACCTCGGAACGCACTGTAAACACGCGCGTTCGCCAACGTGTTGCGGTAGGTCGTGATTTTCGGCACGACGTACGCTTGAGCGACACATATCGGTTTCGACTCGTTTATCGAGCCGAGGTTTAAACCGACGCTATATTTTATTTGCTGCGTCTGGCCGCCCCCCAAGCCCGATACCGTGGCTGGGGTACGCACGCGTTTCAATCGGAGGTCGTTTGCCAGACCTGCGGAGACGAATGACGTCTCCGATCCTTGGTCTAACAGTGCTCGCGCGATTCGCGATGCACCGTTCTCTCCGAACACGCGTACTCGTGCCGTGGCTAGCAGCACGGTCCTCGGTGCGCCTGTACCGAGCGCGGTACAGTGTGATGTCGAGGCCGATTTCTTGTAGGCCTTCGAAGTCGAAGGTTTTCCTTTCGGCTTCGATACGGCCGTACTTCGTGGATGAGCGTTGTAATCGCTCTCGTCACGTTGGCCGTATGCACTTTGCGCCTGCGGCCTCGGATTATTTTGTTTCCGCAGTTCATCATAGTGCAGGAGGGTATGATGCTTCCCCCTACACCGATGGCATACCTGGGGTCTCTGACATTGTGATACCGTATGAGAAAATGCGAGGCATAGCGCACAGGCCATGCGGTTCTGCACGTAGTGGTGACGCATTTTTGGCGTCAGCACTTGAAAATTGGTGCATTGAGGCAGACTGTGTGCCCCAGTGCAGAATCCGCATACTGGCATCCGCATTTGTTTGGTTCGCCTGTCGTTTGCGGAACTTGAGCGTCTCAGGTTTGGGGCCGAGTCGGTTCCCATAACGACGTTATGGCTTGCCAGCGGCTTCGAAGCGACGCTTTTTGGTCGAGCGTCGATGGGCTTCGGCATGCGGCATTGTTTCCGGGGCGAGAGCTGCCTCTCGACGGTCCTCTTTCATCGAAAGCAGAGCTTGCGCGTGATGATCGACGAAGATTCGGACATCCTCGAACATCGGGTAGTTAGTCGAGAGGCCGAGCGATCTCTGCCATTCCAGCTCCAATTTCGGAGTGAAATGTTGTATCGTCCAGTACGCTAGCATCCATTCTACTAGCTGTTCGGACGTGCCCCTTTTTCTTAATGCAGCTAGAGTCTCTGTGCATTCCACAGTGGCCTGCTGCATGCTGGCTAGATCGTTGAATTCAATCTGCTTCAGCGAAAATAGTTTGTCCAGCAACCTTCCCGTGACCATGCGTGGAAGCCCGTATTTATCCTTGAGCATTCTCCACGTTTCGGGGAAGTTACGTCCGACAATCTCGAGCGACGAAATCGTCGCGAGAGCTGGTCCTTCCAAGCATGCGTTCAGATGGTACAATTTCTGTACGTCTGATAACGGCGCATTGTTCATCACCCCGGTGGTAAATAGATCCTCGAAATGTTCCCATTCCCGAGGATCCCCTCCGAATTTAGGCAATCTTTGCTTGGGGAGCTCAATGGGCATGCTGAATTGCTGGACCTCCGGTGCCGGTGGTCTCGATTCAGCAGCGATTCGTGTCAGCTCGGCGGTTACGAAATCCTGGAATTCCTGGAATTCGTTTTCCACGCCGAGGAGGTAGCCTGGCTTAAAAAGCGTATAGGCTTGCCTTTTTGCGGCGGGAATCATCTTCCGCACGTTCGCATACATGGTGCGGACATCCCGCCATGTTCGCCCGGCGTAGTCGAGCTTTTCTTGGAGGAGTTTCTCCGTGAATTTAGCTCTGCCCATTTTTTTGAGATTTATGCTCACGGATCTAAGACGATCGAACTCGTCTGTTAACTCCATGAGCTGATCCTCAATGTCGGCACGCGACATGGACTCGGATAACGTCATAGCGAGTTTGTCGAGGATTAATCAACTCGATTCAACTCTTACGTGGTAATTTCGTCACGTGCAAAGGCAGTCACCTTTTCCCGTTCCAATCAACCTCGTTTGATCCGGCTCGAAGGACCTTATGTTAGGGGGAGTAGGTTTGAAAAAAACCTCGCCTAACGGTGGTCCGGATCGTGAGGGAAGGAACGTCGGGAAAAGAATACAAGATTTTCAATTTAATTTTCGCTTAGTCGAATGACTCGACTAAGCCGTTTATTGGTAAACTTTTGGAAACAGAAATTATGTAATACGAATTGTCTGCCCGGCCAGACGCCGCTGCAGTTAATCCTGTTTGGTAAACCTGTAACAGAAAGAGACACGAATAGGCGTTAAATACCTGTGAACGTGAGTCACGCTGTGTGTCTTACTTTCTTCCGCGCTCGTCTGGTCTGTGCTTGTCGCACCCAGGAGCGGGGATCTCAGCCGCCGCGATGCGCAGCTAAGCTAGTGGACTGTATGTGTGAGCGTTCCCGTTAAATCGGGAATCGCTTGCTTATTATTGTCGTGTACGAGATTTCTGCTCGTCTAATTTCACGACTGCAATTTCTGACTGTGATTTATGACTGTCGCAGGAGAAGGTGATCGGAGGGAGGTTGTAAGGCTCCAACCTTTCAGCCGGTCCCCGGCCCTTCACCGCCTTCGTAAGTGCGTACGGCACTGTGTGGTGCAGGCTTGTCAACGGCGCCCTTAGGTCGACTTACGGTTGGGCCTGAGACCACGTTGCTTGTCGGAGTCTCCGTCCTACGCGCAGGGACCGTACTCCCTGGCGATTTTGGGACGTGTCCTAGCTTTCGCCGATAGCTGGGGTTTAAAAATGTGTCCCGCTTCGACTGGAAGACGGCAAATCCACCCAGGGTATTATTCACCCCTGTATGGTGGGTTCGAAGCCGTTTCTGACAGTCAATTGGAGGAAGGAGTTTGTACCTCGATCCTCTAGTGCACGATGATTCCACTCAGGGTTTTTTCCCACACCTGGATTATGGAGTCGTGCACTAAGAAAAGCGCGAAGAACCTCGCACCTATAAATTGGGATGAGTTAGCCCTCTATCCCTGGGGAAACGATTGATTCCACTCAGGGTTTCTTCCCACACCTGTTTATGGATCGTTTCCCCGGAAGCACTCGAATTACTTCGAGTCTATTCCGAATTAAATGAAGTCTGATTACAGAGCTCGGTCGTGTACCGACTGGCTCGATACGATAACTCGCGAATAATTCCTT